GATGGTAGTGTCAGTGATTGGTATTTTCACTAATGGTGCTCTTATTTTTGTCATTCTGGTTGATCCTCTTCACATACTGAAACGAGGACGGTGGATAACTATTTTGAACTTAGCCATAGCAGATTTTACCGCATCTTTATCAGAATTCATAATGCTTGTACTGTCCGAATTTTTTCAGATGCAAGTGTCACATGAGCTTTTTCGGTCTGTTAAGTTTTTTTCGACTTTGGGTGCTACGGGCTCATTTTTTCAGTTGGCATCTCTCACGATTCAAATTTACGTGATCACCAAATATCCAATACGCGGCCGGCTTATGTTATCACGGAAAAAAACTTACGTAATATGTGCTACAGTTTGGTTGGTTGCTTGTGGCTTTGCAATATGGGAGATGGTATTTATTGTATTTAACCTGGATTTTTCCCAAAAAATGATTTTATACATCACGCTTTGTTCGGTTTTGGTAATCCTTATTGTTCTTCAGTTCATGTTAAAATCTGTTATAGCAAAGGAAGTAATGCACAGTCAACAAAACACGCGTATGAATGGTCACCAACATAACAAAAACAACCATCTTCAAATTGCAAAAATAATGTTCCTCCTAAATATGTTTTTGTTTGTTACAGCGTTCCCTTATGTTGTAGCCCATACTTTGGAGGTCATTTTTAAGCTAAGGAAAGCAGGAAGCAAATCTTTCGCGCTTTTTCGATACTATTATCTACCATTAGCCATGCTAAATTTCGCAGTTAATCCAATTGTGTATGCATTGAGGCTGGTCAATTATCAAAACAGTTTGAAAGCTTTGTTTCAAAAGAAGAAATTTGTTTCGACTCCCGTATAACAAGGACATCATCGTAGTGCTGATGTCATCGCTTGCTCACTGGTTAAAAATGTACACTAAAATTTAATTGCTTTTACTTGTACTAGAAAAATTATGAGGTAAGAAGCGTTTTGGTAAGGCAAAGGTGATACTTAGGCTTAACAGCATTTGCTGGAATTCGGGCTTGTGCATTTGCAATGTTGGGATGTAAAGTATTTCTATTTTTTCAAGTTAAGTAGATTACTCTCTGCATTTAATTACGTTTCACCTGCGAATGGCATTGGTTTGTACTTAAAATTGGCATTATTTTGTGAAACATTGTCTTGTGTAATACATACAACTATATAGCTCTCTCGAATTTTATTGCAACGTTATTAGTTATATTAAATGCCCTTTAAAAAAATATCTTGTACAAATTTGGTTTTTGTTTTATAGTTGGTATACACGCAATTGCTAGAAAATTATTAAATATTTCCTTTATAATTTTTTTGATGATCTTTATTTAATTCGTAAAAAAATTATATATGTATTATCAGGAGTTGAAGGGTAGTTGTTATCTTACACTATGTTTTCCAATGCGAGTTATGAACTTTTCCCCTCTCTGTAATCTTCAACCTTTTACCTTGTGCTTCCATTCTTTTATCTCTTTCTCACCTTCACCCTTTTTCTTTATCGGCTTTGAGGCATTTTTAACATTTTTTCAGCAGAAAATGACCGGATTGATTTATAAAAGTTTCTTTCCCACAGCTCACACCACACAATGTTTTTCTTCTGAATTCTTCGTTTTCACTAGTACACCCATGCAACAGTGCTACTGCAGTCTTTCAAAGCATGCAAGAATTTTTGTTTAGGTGATTGATCATTTCTTTCTCGCCTTCTTCAATAATAAGCCAAAGCATTCTCAATTGTTGCTCTCAATAGCTTCATCGCCTTTCCTGCTTGCAACCTCCTAATTTGAGCTGATATCAATTCGTGGAGTTTAGCTTCCTCCAGTTAATTTCTATGCATTTCTGTATTTGATGGTTAATAAATAGCGCACTTATGTTTTTCCATTCTTCCATGATTATTTTGATTGTAAAGTGATGACTAATTTGTGCAGTCATATAATGAAAATTAGGTGGTCTGCACATTAATATTTAAAGGTAAAGAGGAACAACTTTATGAGTTTCGTCCTGTCTCGCTAAATTGTGTACGAAAATGAGCAGTGACAAAAAAGTCTTGAACTTTGGTATGCAATCCTGTGTGATTAGTTATATTGCATGCTGCTCGTCGTGTTTTTGTTTAGCATACCAAAGCTTTCTTTCCTCTTACTTTTGACATAAAGTTTATAGTGCACTGTGCAAGTTTAATTTTATATCATTAATCAACTAAATTAATTTTTAATTTTTATATTTATCGTTTTAATTTTACGGCCCGTAAAGCTCATGCTGAGTGAATCTGTATGCTAATAGTTAGTGGATTCTGTATACATATGACATATTCATCAAAGAACTCTGGTTGCATTAAAACAGAAATCCATTCAATAGCATCCCCAATATTAAAGTAGTGGTCCATTTTAATTTCTTTAGATCATGTTTTCTGGTGAATATGCAATCCATATTCACAAAACTAGACAATGAACAAATGTATAACTAGGGTAAAGGTTTTTGACCACTCCAAGAGTATCACACTTTAACGGGGATTCCTCTAATCTCTAAAGTTTAAAAGTTGATTTAAAGTTTTCATTTATTTTTTATCCCTATGAATTTGCCCCTGTATGTGCAAAGGCTATATATAAATTGACATAGCTAGGTCACACATTTGAAATCATATTGTAACTGACGTCGTAGCAAAGAGATTAACAGCTTCTGGTTTTTTTTTGTGCTAAAAAACAAAATTGGTAAAAGAGTGCTTTGAAAAAATAGTTGAGAAAATTAAGATGTGCATGGGATATTGAGACACAAGCAAAGTGATCCCCCAAAATTATAATATTGTTCATGTTGTGCTAGCAACTACAAAATTAAAAAATAGATTGTTGAGTAATGTTGAGTTGCCAAAAATGTGTCGGTTGTAATGAAACTAAAGATGGTTAGTTTTGCAGTTTATAATTTCGTAAGACACATTGACTAACTAAAGATTATCTAGACATGATATAGACCACAGTTTGCCTGTGCAGAAAAGTTGTTTCCTTTATATTTTTACTGATGATGTTTTCTAAACGCTCATTTTACATCTTCGTCTTTGTGATTGAAAGCGCAAAGTTAACACACCTCAAACAGCACTCAATAAAAGCCCTCTTCCAGCTCAGTATGTTCTTTGAAAAATTTTATTGAATTTTCACGCTCAGCGTTTTTATTTGACAGTAACACTTTTGTTAGACATATTTAAGGACAAAAAAGGAACTCAAATAGAGCAAGAAAGAACAATTTCAATTTGTCTCCAGTTGCGTGCAAATATTGCATGCATGTCTGTTTACAAAGCCCTCAATATCCAAACTTTAACGATGTTTACGTTAGTAATGATGGCATAATTAGCAATTTGTGAGAGGGTGAATGACTGGCAAATGTTTTATACAGCAACATGTTCTTTTTTAAGTAGCATCTCTCATTCGTGACGTGAAAGAAAAAGTTTGTTATCTGAGATCTCCTTATGGGACCTATCTCACATCATTTACAAAATGCTTATCTATTTTGCGTCAATGGATGCCTTATTTTGATGTGTTTGAATAGTCTATTTTACATCGAGACTCTTGAAAAATAAAACTCCCTAAATCTCTACGGAGCAAAAATGTACATTTTACGTACGTTGCTTAGTAAATAGTGTACAACTCAATTAAGCATGGAGTGAGTTGTTTTAATAAAGGTATACCAAAAAATGCCCCGTCGTTGTAAAATACACAATTTTTGTTGAATAGGCATTGATGGGATTTGTTGAATAGGCATTGAAAGGAGGCAATACTTCATGCTTAAAAATTACAACTGTTTGTTAAGCGCCACAAATCATTCCTGTTGAAATTTTTAAATTAAGCCAAACTGGTTGTTTTAATTTTAAATGATCAGCGTAGTTGTTATAACAGCATATTGTGAAATTTCTCGAGTAGATTTATCTGGTGATAAGTATAGAATCATTCCCACTTTCAAAATATCTAACGCCTCACTGAATCCCGATTAGCCTTTAGGGGCTTTCATAAGAACAGACGCATTCAACATCACATTCAACATTGTCTTCAACATTGTTGAATCATGTTGAAACTTACTTAAATTTGTTGGCCAAACGGACAAAACATGCCATTCAACATCATTCAACATCGTTCAATATGTTTCAACATATTTCAACACATGTGGCCAAACGCACTCAACGTGTTGAGCTCAACAATCTTGATTGATATTGAATGCAATTTTGTATGCGTTTGCCCCGGCCTTAAGAATTGAAAATTGTAACTAAACCGAGTTTTTCCTTGCTTCTATCAAGGCAGTTAAATATTTTGGCGAATAAATTACTTGCACAGTTTATGAACAATTCAATTCAATTGCCATTGGTAGAGGAAAAATCAAGAATGATTTGTACAGAGGAGCATTTTTGGGCAAAGCAAGAAGTGTTCTTTTTATTTTTTTAATTAAATGCAGTCAAATTTCAATTAGTCACGCACTGTAGCCGACTGGGAAACGCTTACACAATAATTTGTGGAAATGCGTTTGGAAATTTGTCAAGGTCATCATGCTCAAAAAATAAACACCAGCGGGCTTGGGAAGTCGTGGGCGTCAGGGTATCCGTACACACACAATTATAGAGAATGGGTGGGCCTTATCTGAAGTTCCACCTATAAGTTTAACGTCGTGCTTTATTGTTTATGACATAATGCATGATGGTTTTTACAGGTGTATCAAATTCTCAAATTGTTGAACAAGAACTTAAAATTTCAAACGATTTAAATATTAAAGAAATATTTGAGGAAATTGTAAGTAATAAGTACAACAAAAAGGATTTTGGAGGATATTTTGTTTGCTAGAAAATAAAGAAAAACTGATTAAAAATAACAAATACAAAAACAGTTTTGTTACTTTTCTGATTTTCTTGCGTTATCACATTGCGAACATAAAAACCTTTGAAATGATGAAAAACCCCTGATATACACATACGTTCATGGTGTAGGTGACAAAATAATTGTATTTTTGAATAAATTAACTGTTAAGTATACACTAACCAATCAAATTTGTTTGCCATATTATACCATAAGATTAAATTTTCTACCACGTCATCTGCCTTGGTCGTGTAAAGTTGTATGAATAGAGCATATGCGTGCATATGTTGGCCATTTGTGTACGTCTTGTTGCGAGAAACGCCTCGGTCAGTAAACAACGGTGAGCAAAAATTTCAATTCAATTCTACTCATCAAAGCGCATTTTTCTGCCTGATGATTAGAGAGAGATTTAGGTGGAAAGGTAATCTGTACCAATTCACATGCCTTGTTTATGGATTATCTTCCGCTCTACATTTATTTGCCTGTGCAGAAAAATTGATTTCCTTTATATTTTTACTGATGATGTTTTCTAAACGCTCATTTTACGTCTTCGTCTTTGTGATTGAAAGCGCAAAGTTAACACACCTCAAACAGCACTCAATAAAAGCCCTCTTCCAGCTCAGCATGTTCTTTGAAAAATTTTATTGAATTTTCACGCTCAGCGTTTTTATTTGACAGTAACTTTTGTTAGACATATTTAAGGACAAAAAAGGAACTCAAATAAAGCAAGAAAGAACAATTTCAATTTGTCTCCAGTTGCGTGCAAATATTGCATGCATGTCTGTTTACAAAGCCCTCAATATCCAAACTTTAACGATGTTTACGTTAGTAATGACGGCATAATTAGCAATTTGTGAGAGGGTGAATGACTGGCAAATGTTTTATACAGCAACATGTTCTTTTTTAAGTAGCATCTCTCATTCGTGACGTGAAAGAAAAGTTTGTTATCTGAGATCTCCTTATGGGACCTATCTCACATCATTTACAAAATGCTTATCTATTTTGCGTCAATGGATGCCTTATTTTGATGTGTTTGAATAGTCTATTTTACATCGAGACTCTTGAAAAATAAAACTCCCTAAATCTCTACGGAGAAAAAATGTACATTTTACGTACGTTGCTTAGTAAATAGTGTACAACTCAATTAAGCATGGAGTGAGTTGTTTTAATAAAGGTATACCAAAAAATGCCCCGTCGTTGTAAAATACACAATTTTTGTTGAATAGGCATTGATGGGATTTGTTGAATAGGCATTGAAAGGAGGCAATACTTCATGCTTAAAAATTACAACTGTTTGTTAAGCGCCACAAATCATTCCTGTTGAAATTTTTAAATTAAGCCAAACTGGTTGTTTTAATTTTAAATGATCAGCGTAGTTGTTATAACAGCATATTGTGAAATTTCTCGAGTAGATTTATCCGGTGATAAGTATAGAATCATTCCCACTTTCAAAATATCTAACGCCTCACTGAATCCCGATTAGCCTTTAGGGGCTTTCATAAGAACAGACGCATTCAACATCACATTCAACATTGTCTTCAACATTGTTGAATCATGTTGAAACTTACTTAAATTTGTTGGCCAAACGGACAAAACATGCCATTCAACATCATTCAACATCGTTCAATATGTTTCAACATATTTCAACACATGTGGCCAAACGCACTCAACGTGTTGAGCTCAACAATCTTGATTGATATTGAATGCAATTTTGTATGCGTTTGCCCCGGCCTTAAGAATTGAAAATTGTAACTAAACCGAGTTTTTCCTTGCTTCTATCATGGCAGTTAAATATTTTGGCGAATAAATTACTTGCACAGTTTATGAACAATTCAATTCAATTGCCATTGGTAGAGGAAAAATCAAGAATGATTTGTACAGAGGGACATTTTTGGGCAAAGCAAGAAGTGTTCTTTTTATTTTTTAATTAAATGCAGTCAAATTTCAATTAGTCACGCACTATAGCCGACTGGGAAACGCTTACACAATAATTTGTGGAAATGCGTTTGGAAATTTGTCAAGGTCATCATGCTCAAAAAATCAACACCAGCGGGCTTGGGAAGTCGTGGGCGTCAGGGTATCCGTACACACACAATTATAGAGAATGGGTGGGCCTTATCTGAAGTTCCACCTATAAGTTTAACGTTGTGCTTTATTGTTTATGACATAATGCATGATGGTTTTTACAGGTGTATCAAATTCTCAAATTGTTGAACAAGAACTTAAAATTTCAAACGATTTAAATATTAAAGAAATATTTGAGGAAATTGTAAGTAATAAGTACAACAAAAAGGATTTTGGAGGATATTTTTGTTTGCTAGAAAATAAAGAAAAACTGATTAAAAATAACAAATACAAAAACAGTTTTGTTACTTTTCTGATTTTCTTGCGTTATCACATTGCGAACATAAAAACCTTTGAAATGATGAAAAACCCCTGATATACACATACGTTCATGGTGTAGGTGACAAAATAATTGTATTTTTGAATAAATTAACTGTTAAGTATACACTAACCAATCAAATTTGTTTGCCATATTATACCATAAGATTAAATTTTCTACCACGTCATCTGCCTTGGTCGTGTAAAGTTGTATGAATAGAGCATATGCGTGCATATGTTGGCCATTTGTGTACGTCTTGTTGCGAGAAACGCCTCGGTCAGTAAACAACGGTGAGCAAAAATTTCAATTCAATTCTACTCATCAAAGCGCATTTTTCTGCCTGATGATTAGAGAGATTTAGGTGGAAAGGTAATCTGTACCAATTCACATGCCTTGTTTATGGATTATCTTCCGCTCTACATTTATTTGCCTGTGCAGAAAAATTGATTTCCTTTATATTTTTACTGATGATGTTTTCTAAACGCTCATTTTACGTCTTCGTCTTTGTGATTGAAAGCGCAAAGTTAACACACCTCAAACAGCACTCAATAAAAGCCCTCTTCCAGCTCAGCATGTTCTTTGAAAAATTTTATTGAATTTTCACGCTCAGCGTTTTTATTTGACAGTAACTTTTGTTAGACATATTTAAGGACAAAAAAGGAACTCAAATAAAGCAAGAAAGAACAATTTCAATTTGTCTCCAGTTGCGTGCAAATATTGCATGCATGTCTGTTTACAAAGCCCTCAATATCCAAACTTTAACGATGTTTACGTTAGTAATGACGGCATAATTAGCAATTTGTGAGAGGGTGAATGACTGGCAAATGTTTTATACAGCAACATGTTCTTTTTTAAGTAGCATCTCTCATTCGTGACGTGAAAGAAAAAGTTTGTTATCTGAGATCTCCTTATGGGACCTATCTCACATCATTTACAAAATGCTTATCTATTTTGCGTCAATGGATGCCTTATTTTGATGTGTTTGAATAGTCTATTTTACATCGAGACTCTTGAAAAATAAAACTCCCTAAATCTCTACGGAGAAAAAATGTACATTTTACGTACGTTGCTTAGTAAATAGTGTACAACTCAATTAAGCATGGAGTGAGTTGTTTTAATAAAGGTATACCAAAAAATGCCCCGTCGTTGTAAAATACACAATTTTTGTTGAATAGGCATTGATGGGATTTGTTGAATAGGCATTGAAAGGAGGCAATACTTCATGCTTAAAAATTACAACTGTTTGTTAAGCGCCACAAATCATTCCTGTTGAAATTTTTAAATTAAGCCAAACTGGTTGTTTTAATTTTAAATGATCAGCGTAGTTGTTATAACAGCATATTGTGAAATTTCTCGAGTAGATTTATCCGGTGATAAGTATAGAATCATTCCCACTTTCAAAATATCTAACGCCTCACTGAATCCCGATTAGCCTTTAGGGGCTTTCATAAGAACAGACGCATTCAACATCACATTCAACATTGTCTTCAACATTGTTGAATCATGTTGAAACTTACTTAAATTTGTTGGCCAAACGGACAAAACATGCCATTCAACATCATTCAACATCGTTCAATATGTTTCAACATATTTCAACACATGTGGCCAAACGCACTCAACGTGTTGAGCTCAACAATCTTGATTGATATTGAATGCAATTTTGTATGCGTTTGCCCCGGCCTTAAGAATTGAAAATTGTAACTAAACCGAGTTTTTCCTTGCTTCTATCATGGCAGTTAAATATTTTGGCGAATAAATTACTTGCACAGTTTATGAACAATTCAATTCAATTGCCATTGGTAGAGGAAAAATCAAGAATGATTTGTACAGAGGGACATTTTGGGCAAAGCAAGAAGTGTTCTTTTTATTTTTTAATTAAATGCAGTCAAATTTCAATTAGTCACGCACTATAGCCGACTGGGAAACGCTTACACAATAATTTGTGGAAATGCGTTTGGAAATTTGTCAAGGTCATCATGCTCAAAAAATCAACACCAGCGGGCTTGGGAAGTCGTGGGCGTCAGGGTATCCGTACACACACAATTATAGAGAATGGGTGGGCCTTATCTGAAGTTCCACCTATAAGTTTAACGTTGTGCTTTATTGTTTATGACATAATGCATGATGGTTTTTACAGGTGTATCAAATTCTCAAATTGTTGAACAAGAACTTAAAATTTCAAACGATTTAAATATTAAAGAAATATTTGAGGAAATTGTAAGTAATAAGTACAACAAAAAGGATTTTGGAGGATATTTTTGTTTGCTAGAAAATAAAGAAAAACTGATTAAAAATAACAAATACAAAAACAGTTTTGTTACTTTTCTGATTTTCTTGCGTTATCACATTGCGAACATAAAAACCTTTGAAATGATGAAAAACCCCTGATATACACATACGTTCATGGTGTAGGTGACAAAATAATTGTATTTTTGAATAAATTAACTGTTAAGTATACACTAACCAATCAAATTTGTTTGCCATATTATACCATAAGATTAAATTTTCTACCACGTCATCTGCCTTGGTCGTGTAAAGTTGTATGAATAGAGCATATGGGTGCATATGTTGGCCATTTGTGTACGTCTTGTTGCGAGAAACGCCTCGGTCAGTAAACAACGGTGAGCAAAAATTTCAATTCAATTCTACTCATCAAAGCGCATTTTTCTGCCTGATGATTAGAGAGAGATTTAGGTGGAAAGGTAATCTGTACCAATTCACATGCCTTGTTTATGGATTATCTTCCGCTCTACATTTATTTGCCTGTGCAGAAAAATTGAGTCTAACAGGATAACTTTAATTCGAAATTCAAACTCTCCCCTTCGGCGCTGGAGGACGTATCTTGGTGGATTAATAATGCATATGAGTCCAAAAACCATCTGAATCACGACAAGATTGACCAAGTATTTTATACGGACGCCTCTACCAAGGGATGGGGCGCAAGAATTAACAAACAGTCCATTTGAGGCGAATGGTCACTTGCAGAAAAAGAGTCGCATATTAATAGTCTGGAACTCAAAGCAATACTGTTTGGGCTACAATCTCTCTTTAAAGATCTAATCTACACCCACATTAAAGTAATAACCCACAATACCAATGCTCTTGCAAATATTAACGATATGGGGGGGCTGCCACTCTCACAAATGCGATAAAATTGCAAGGAAAATATGGGCGTGGTGCAGAATCAAGGACATATGGCTAACAGACAGCTATATCCCTGGGAAACTTCATGTGGTGGCTGATAAAGCTTCAAGAACATTTGACGATTCCAAAGAATGGAAGCTTGATGCTGAATTCTTTCTTGAAATAACAGAACATTTTGGGTCCCCAGAAGTTGACATGTTTGCTTCTAGACTAAATTATCGACTTAAACCTATGTCTCGTGGCACCCAGATCCATAGGCGTGGGCTATTGACGCTTTTTGCATTGATTGGAGTAAATTGGTTCTATATGCTTTTCCACTTTTTAGTGTTATACCACATGTTTTACAAAAAGTAGGAATGGCCCAGGCACGGACAATTCTCATTGTGCCGAATTGGCCAACTCATCCCTGGTATCCGATGCTGGCAAGATTGATGATTCATCGACCATTCTCCTACCCAAAAACAAAAGCAATGTTAGCTTACCATCCAATCAAACAAAACAACACCCACTTAAAGGGAGACTGAGACTGATAGCTTGTCTCTTATCCGGAGATCACTCTCAAGTAAGGGCATTTCACCACAAGCTCAAGCAACAATACTTAATTCCCGGCGGCCAGGAACACAAAAACAATATCAGGTGTACCTTAACAATTGGCAACTCTATGTTAATAAACGGAATGCAGATCCCCTTCATCCAACTTTACAGGTAGTTCTAGACTTTCTACAGCACCTATTTGATCAAGGGATGAGTCACAGTTGCATAAACACTGCTCGAAGTATGTTATCTTCATACGTTATTACTGAAGGGAATTCTACGATTGGTACACATCATATGGTTAAGAGATTTATGAAGGGAGTGTTCCATTCTAGACCAGCACTACCAAGATATCAAGTAACCTGGGACACCTACATTGTTTTAGAGTATATAAAGACATATCCCGCAGTAGAAGATTTAACTCTACAAAAGCTAACTCATAAGTTGGTAATGCTCTGTGCATTAGTCCCAAGGCAGCGTGCCCAATCACTCCACCTCATGAACCTCATAACTGTAAAGAATGAAGAGGATCATACACCTTCTATATCGACCAACTTGTCAAACAATCTGGACCAACCCGCATTCAACCTACTTTAGTGATACCAAAGTTCCCTGCCGATCACCGACTACGCGTTGACTCAGTCATGAAAGAATATATTAAACGCACTGCTCCAATTTAGGGTCAGGAAAATCAACTATTTTTTTGCACAATTCGACCCTTTCATAAAGTATCAAAGTCATCTATATCTCGTTGGATAAAGGTCGTCATGCAAGCTGCAGGAATTGATATAGAAAGGTTCAAAACACATAGTACACGAGCCGCAGCCACCAGTAATGCAAAGCAATGTGATGTTTCGATAAACTCTATACTGAAAGCTGCAAGTTGGAAGACTTATTGCGTTTTTTATCGGTTTTACAATAAGAACGTTGTGTCTCAACGTGGGGTGCGGAGTTTAAGAATGCCATTTTTTCAGCGTCCTAATAAAAAAGACATTGGATAAGAATTTTCTTTAGTTGAATTTGGCAGGAAGTTGAGAACTCACATGCATAGTGCAATAGAAGGAAGTACTTTGAATTCATATTTGTTACTATTTCCGGGTATGTTTGAGGCATCTCCAATTAAAATATGTTTATAACTTAATGTCGTATTTGCGTGTAGGCATGAATTGTGTCCACATGACTTTCAAATCTCGTATGATCTCTGTGGTAGATGCTAATAAAATTAGGAAATTGAACGAGACTTACCTGATGTTTAAATTCGATTGTGATTCTATTAGCATCTACAGAGTAGAGATTACACGCGCACCCATCATGTTACTGCCTGCTTGCATATCGTCCATATGCACATTTAGGTGGTTCTTGTGGCCACTATCTTTGAAATATGACCAATTTGGGCATGCGTACTATCTCGTTTAATCTCTGCTCTGTAGATGCTAATAGAATCACGATCGAGCTTCAACTTCAGGTAAGTTTCGTTCAATTTCCTAATTCTATTAGCCGAAGTTTCATCCCGCTTATACAAGACAAGTATTGCTGTCGACAGTCGCTATGCTCTCATTCAATAATTGTACCCCGAAATGAAGTTAATGTTTGAGTCATCTGACATAGAACTTTGCCGAGACACTGTATTACTTATAAAGGATATGACTGCACAAAATTCTATTCAATATCAGAAAATAGAATTATTGATTACTAGCGGAATTTCATCACACATTGGCTGTACAAAGCGGTCAAAGCTCTCATTGTCCGAACTTTGACGATGTTTACATTTGTAAATACGTCAAGGTATCTGTAAGTGGGTGATCATATGTAAATCTTATGTAAATACGTTAAGGTATCTGTAAGTGGGTGATCATTTGTAAATACGTCAAGGTATCTGTAAGTGGGTGATTGAATTGCAAATGATTTAATTTAAATTAAAAACATATTCACTCTTAGGCAGCGTCTCTCACTCAAGATCTCACTGTGATCTCTCACTATGTTACCCTTCTCGCAACATTCACAAAATGTCTATCCATTCTATGTGTATGGATGCCTTATTTCGACGTGTTTGATTAAAGTGTGTCCAGTGGTTGGTGACGATTTTTTTAATTTTAGCGAAAAATGTAATTCGACTCAACTATATGAATTAAATTGCACCAGGGCGCTTGATTTGCGCAACCAAAGCGATGTGAGTATACATATCAATATATTTATTTTCTTTTGCTATTTGTTGTACAAGTTTGATCTTGAATGTTTTGTTGATTACAAAGAATGCGTGGTTGTCGTTTGTAGTTTACTTTATTCTATATTTACCACCGCTCGTAGGGAAATGTAATTATTTATTTTATTATGGCACTATATATTACAGAACTAAGAAAGTCGGTGAAGCAAACTTGATAACGAATACGTTAAAAAGCGCAGATTTTTTGTGTGTGTTAGTAATAATAAATACATCGAACCTCGATACATCTACTTTTTGTTACCGTTTGCAAGCGACCGCACAAACTATTTTACGAGTTATTTACGTGCTTAAACGTCACGTTTTGCTCGTCAAACATACAAGATTTCTCCTACAAAGTAAATAGTTTGGAATGGGTAAGTTGTAAAACATTAAATCTTCTGTTTTAATTGGCATTTATTTATGTTAAATCATAAAGTGATGTTTCTATTTACAAGTTCTAAACGTACATTCAAGCTGCAATTTGAACATATTAGTTGATACATGTAAGTTTACCAATCTTACATGCAATCTGCTGGGAAACTAAACGGTACAATAGCTACCTTAATACTTATGCCCGAATTCTGCCGTGTGTATGTTAAGACTTTTCTCAAAAATTACAGGGGGATAGAAGCAATTATCCGTTACAAGTTAGTACGATTAACACTACTTAAAATACATTGACTTTAACACTGTTAAGCCCGATTTATGCTGCGCGTGGCCAGCACGTTGAAATGCTGAATGTGAACTATTTATATCATTTTGCAAACAAACTTCTTCGGACGAATATCCTCCGAAAACGTTGATTTCATTAAAGAGCTGTTAAAATCTAAGATTTTTGTTTTCATAATTACAAACCACCTCGAGTCTCGGTAAACATTGGGACTAGCTCGAGAAAAACAAAACTCGCTATTTCCTTCGGGAGCAAATATTGTCTACCTGTCTTAATGAAGAAATTAAATATCATCGAGGGATTTCTATTAAGAAATAAAAGATGTTTACTGTGTTTGCAGACAGGCGCGGATCCAGCTCCTTAGCTGACCGATGCATTGCGAGCGCCAAAGGCGCGAGCCACCGCTAGGGGGGTCTGGGGGCATGCTCCCCCAGAAAATTTTTGAATTTTCACTATCCGAGAAGCATTTTCCAGCGATTGTATTATATTACATATGAATACAAGTATAAGTGCTGCATAAGTAATATCACATCGCGTATATTTTATGATGATTGTTCGTCGTTCTGAAATGAGTACACTATTTACATTTAAAACATGTGCTAGATTATAGAATACCCGTCCACTCACTATCTACTTATATAATATACCTTGTTGAAGGCTTAAGCCTGTATGGGTGCCTTTAAAAATGGACGGGTATTCTATAATCGCTCCAAAACATGCAAGCATAAAGGTAAATTTACTTACTTTAAAGCTCTTAGTTCTCCACTTTGCCAATGAATTGTCAAGTGCTTAGGTATTAACATTTCACTTGACATATCTCTCCCATTTTTACCCTTTGAAAAGGGATTCCAAGGAGAGGATTTTGAAATAAAAGTAGCAGCTCTCGTTTCATAGGTTCGACGCACTCCATTAATATCAAATGACTTCTCTTCTCGAAGCAGAGTACACAGATCGTGTTTGATATTCTCGACAGCCATGACTTCGATCGATGATTGCGAGTTATATCAAGTGATCAAATAACAATGCATTCAACTTTGAAGTTCAAAGTTGAATGCATCGGTGCCATGTGCCCACAATCACAAAATTATGGAAAATGCATCGCTCAGCGGCAAAATCTACCGTGACGTGAGGCCCTAAAACAATGGTTTTGTTGATGTCACAGTAGATTTCACGCGGAAAAGGACTCGGGACCGATGCATCGCAAATCTACTGTGACGTAGCGATGCATCTTCCATCTACCGTGACGTGCTGGCAGAATACTATTAAATTACTTACTAATTATGTATTCACGACAAAATTTCGCTAAATTTTATCGACTTTTCTTTCGCTATTTGTGTCATGGAATACGACAAAATTATCGGAGAACACAAATGTTATTTCTAGAACAAATTTTAGCTTAAAACTGCTAAATCTATAAGTTAACTAAACAATATATCACTGTCAAATGTGCGTTTTAAATAATTCGAAAATAATATTTGCTATTTATTTCATTAAAATGCAAACTCGCAGATTTTAATATCTAAATATTTTGACCGATGCATTCGCATCGGTTGCATCGGTCTAGATCCGCCCCTGTTTGCAGAGGCTTATGCAAACCGAGGAGACCATTGGGAGAGCTCGAGAGCAGATCAGTTTAAGCCCGAGACAGAAGGTCAAGGGTTGCACATGCTCAAGAGCTCTCACAAACGTCTCTGAGGTTTGCATAAGCCAATGCAAACACGAAAAGCATCTTTTATTTCTTTTATAAACTAACAATAACGCGAAGCAGAAAAAGTTAAAGTAAACATTTTAATTTTTCTTCTAAAATGTATTCATGATCAATTTGCAAATTCTCTTTTACTGATTGATTGTTCTCATTGATTTGATTGGTTGAGCTCAAATGTGTTTAGCACAGGCTAATACAAACACAGCTCTAGACCAATCAGCGCACGCATTTCATTGTGTATATTTTATACATTTAATTAATGCATGTTGTCGTTTTCAAATTTTTACGTTCTACGATTGCCTGTATGTACATCCTATTTAGCGTCTCCTTTAGTGTTAAACAATTACTAAAGAGTTTCCATATGCGGCAATTAAAGCAAAATTTAACTGGAAAAGCAGTGCAAAACTTAGTGGATCTGGCCATTCACCAAACTCTAGAAACTATTTAGTAATTGTTTTATAAAACAACAACTGGAGGGTAGTGTCGTCAGCTTTATTTCAATAAACGAATAGATGTAAGCTAAATATTGTCCCAAGCGTATGAAGCCGTAAAATTAAGTAAATAACGAAGTCAACACCATGAAAACGTAGAATTACAGGCAGGTTATTGATTTCAAGAGTTTAGTAAAAATCACCAATCTTGATTTAAGTTCATATTTACATTGCCAGAAATTCACTGCCTGAATGTCAATTCGGGCAGCTAAAGAAATCATGTTTGTATTTATTCAAGGTGACACGTGAACTTGGACTGTATGCAGCATTAATATCAGCGATGGTAATTTCAGCAATTGGTGTCCTCACTAACGGTGTCCTTATTACAATCATTCTGCTTGATCGTCTTCACAAACTGAAACGAGGACCGTGGATTACCATCTTAAGCCTATCCACAGCCGATTTTATGGCATCTGTGTCAGAATTTATGGCTGCTGGATGGGACGACAATTATTTTGAAGCACAAGAGCCAGAAGCAATTTCTCCGTATGCTCTTTTCTTCTGGAGCTTTGGTGTCATAGGGTCATTTTTGCACTTGGCATCACTCACAGTTCAAACTTACATAACTATTAAGTACCCCTTACGCAGCCGACAGATTTTGTCACGGAAAAAGACCATCATAATATGCGCAATAGTTTGGTTTGTTGCTTGTGGCTTAACATTTTGTGCGATTGCATCACATTTCACTCAAGACTTGGAGGAGTTAATGTTAATATATATCACGCTTCCTTTAGTCTTGGTGATCCTTATTTTCCTTCAGGTCATGTTAAAGTTTGCCATAGTTAAAGAAGTAATGCAAAGTCGTCGAAACACGCATGTGAATGTTATCCAGCATAACAACAACAACCATCTTCAAATTGCAAAAACAATCTTCATGCTAAATATGCTTTTGCTCGTTACAGCGTTCCCTTATTTTGTACCCAGAACACTTGAGTTCATATTCCTTCTTACTAAAGTACAAAATGGATTTCCTTGGCGTTTTTGGTACTACTATAAACCAGTAGTCATGCTTAATTTTGCTGTCAATCCAATTGTATATGCATTGCGGCTTACCGATTATCGAAACAGTTTAAAGGCTTTGTTTAAAAAGAAGAAGTTTGTTCCTACTTCAGTATAGCAACGACACCATTGTGTTGCTTTATATCAGTTACCTTTGAAAACATGACATGTGCACTGTTAAAAATCGTATATAGCCTACTGTAGCGTGATTGCTTTTATTTGCACTTAAAAGAAAAAACTTCCAAGAAAATTTTCAGTGGACTGTTGGTTTTGATGAAATCCAAAGTATACGTGACTAACATAGAATGTTGAAAAATTTGATATATACTAAATGACTTTCTAAACGTTAACAATGCTAAGCAAAAATAGCTATCTAGTAATACAAAACATTTGCGTAAACCTGTAACTCTACTATACCGATCACGAGCCCGGGATATGTAAGTGTTTGCTAAAAAGAGGAGTGAAAAATTTTCGCAAATGTGATTTACCAAGTGATTGTTGCTTAGCACGTCTTAGGTTTTAGGTCATTTAGTATTGAGATCTTTAATACCCTGACAGAACTTGCCGAAGTTTGTAGGCATGAGTCTATGCCCGAGTTTGCATTGAGTAAACCAATTTATCAGTTTTTAATTTTGCTATCTTTTCCCTCGTGTTCTGTGTGGTTATTGAATCTTCTCTATTATCAACTCTGTCCAAATTTTCTCTTTCAATCCTATTCATACGTCTGACTTTACCATTCTTCTTAAATGATGCCATGTACAGTACTTTTGGGAAACTGTGTCTGAGAAGGATGCAGCCACAATCAATAATTTACTATGTCGTTAAAAAAATGAAAATGTCTATGAAAGGTAGCCACTTCCGAAAATTGTTTAAAAGGTTGTCACATGTTTGGAAAAGCCCTCCAATCTCAAGCCCTTTTTTCGAATCATATCATCTGAGTTTTGCATTGTTCGAGTTCAATTTTACTTTTTAATACTTATTTTATCCTTAATAAACTCATAAATCTCATGGTAATTGACACAACATACATGTGATTTCAATGGATCTTGTATTTGATGCATTCACTAACTACGATAGATATAGAGAAAACAGAAATCTTCTAGAGGGTTACCAACATTACATTCTCAAATTAACAGATCTTATTTTGTAAAGAAAAGCTGCGTAAATTATAGTTCAAAAAATATTGCTTTTTAAATATCCCAACGTGTATAAGCTGTGCTTTTACTATTCTCTGCTCACTCTTGTCTATGAATTGTTACTTGTAAATTAGACATCCTTTACGAGAATTCAAGGACTGTTGCTTTTGGTTGAAAGCAATTGAAAAATATTCTAGTAAGAGAATACCAAACAAAATAGTCAACACAAAAGTAAACTACATATATTGAGGTCACAATGACTTTAGCAACATTCATGTACATGCATGTTGTTTTTTCATATATAGCCAAAACACAACGAGTGATGATAACGAGCAACGTTATCATCATTTTTGAATACATTTGTGCAGCCAATATATTAAGATCTTATAAAAAGAGCCATTAACATGATCGATCGCCAAAATAACTTAAGAGTTCTAAAACGAATTGTTGTGCAGCAAAAAAAACACACTAATCAAATAGTTTTATATAGGACTGTTTTATAAACTAAAAGACACGATGCATTTTGGCAGATTATTTGGTGTCCAGTGTCAACGTGCACTAAATTGATGATTTTATTTGTCTTAAGTTGATTTAACTGTTGATTTAATCTAATTTGTTAATTGGTCTCGAACGTTATAAACACTCTGCCAAAAAGCATCATTTAGCTAGTTTTTAAAACAGTTCTTTTTAGAACTATTGCGATTGGGGTAGTAGCTATTTTGGTTCTAAAACAGTTCTTTTTAGAACTATTGTTATTGGGGTAGTAGCTATTTTGGTTCTAAAACAGCTCTTTTTTGAACTCTCGAGTCATTTTTGCCATCCATACACCATGGAAATTTATCTCTTTAAAACAAGTTTTAGATTTGTCATCACAACAAAGTTTTCACTTCACAAATATATTCTTTTTGGCGCTTATATTATGCATCGCTCAGTAACAGCAACAACCCAATAGGTTTTTTGTATGCAACAAAGAAATATCCAATACGATGTTTCGCGTAAATATTGAAACCTAGAGAAACCTTTCCATTTAACAATTACCAGAAGCTCTCGACAAACTATAGAAACCCATGTTGAGCATAAATAAATTCAGTGTGAGGCTTATGGTAAAACGTTCTTTAATTAAATACACAACAAAGTATATTTAACGAAAAAAAGTTTGCCCAATTGCCCCGTTTGGAAGTTTTTGCATTTTATATTGTACTTTGACACGCAGCTTCTGCTCTGCATATTTTAATGAGGGGCCGTTTATATGGTCTCGGGTACTAGGGTTACCCTACTACCCGAGACAAAGTTGTCTAGCGTTTACATGAGAGATTGCACGCTCTCTTTTTAACTCGTTCCCAGTTCACTCTACACTCAACAAAATCCAAGATGGATAACGCAGAAATTGTATTTTCTATATGCCCCATAATTTTGAATATAGTGTCGGTTCTTTCCATGTTAGACGCATGTATTACATTGCTTACTGTGCACCAGTAAATGCAGCAAGATATTCTCCTGTGCTTGGGCACAGCTAAGGAAAATCTTCATGTTTTGAAAGCAAAACGAAAAATTACAAGTCGACGAGGAAGATTTCGTTCATGCTGGCAGAAGCCCGGTAGGACAGAGCGATGGTGGAGTAATCTCTGGCTCGGTGAACTTGATCTCCAGGAGTGGAACTTGAATCTTCGCATGAGCAAAGACGATTTCATGAAATTGGTTCAAGAACTCGAACCTTTTATTAAACCAAATTTTGCAACTCCTAATTGGACAGCAGTTTCAGTCGAAAAAAAAGTAGCATTAACTCTATATTTTCTTAAAGATACTGGCTCTATTCGAATGACTGCAAACTCCTTTGGAGTTGCTACACCAACTGTCTCCAAAACTGTCAACGAAGTCTGTCGAGCAATCAGCAAATATCTTGGTCCCAAGTACATCAAGTTACCACAATCTTCTGAAGAAATGAGAGAATTGATCATAAGGTTTGAATCAAAGCATGGTTTCCCTCAAGCCTTTGGATGCATAGACGGCACCCACATTGCTATCCAACAACCATTAGAGAACTCTCACGATTATTTTTCTTACAAGATGAAATATACCTTGAACATCCAAGCGGTTTGTGACTATAGAGGGTTATTCCTTGACGTTGACTGCCGATGGCCAGGGAGTGTGCACGATGCTAAAGTTTTTAGTAACTCTAAAATAAACAAAATGCTGAGAGAAAACAAGTTGCCTAGTGTTTATCGGAATTTAGTTCCAGGCCACGACAAGGTATCATCTCTGCTTCTTGCGGACCCAGCTTATCCATTACTGCCATATTGCATGACTGAGTTTGAATGTTGCAAGAGTAATGACGAAGTCATTTTTAACAATCTGTTGAGATCCTCAAGGAATCAGATTGAGTGTGCCTTTGGACGATTGAAAGCTAGATGGCAAAAACCTAACACTCTACTAAACCTGAAGAATGAAAATGTTCCTTATATGATATATGCATGTTTTGTTTTACATAACTTTTGTCAATTACACGGAATTCACGACGATGATGGTGTTTTGAAGCAAATTAAATATGATAGGGAAGTACAACCAGATATTCAGCAAGACTTGATTTTCTCTTGTAATACTGCTGAAGGAATATCTACCAGAAAGACAATAGTTGCTTTTCTAAAGGAACACACTGAACTCTAATTTTTTACTTGAGTTTTAATAGTGAATAAAGCTAACAAAAGTATCTGTTTTTAATTTCTCTGATTCGATACCTGTACAAGTCAGCCAAAATCACATTACATAACAATCATAAGTAGAACTGAAGTTTTGTTTCTGTGCATAAACAATACAATAAATTTATAAACTAGTCCTCATATAGCTATTAAACAAAATAATAATCTTCCCCAGCTAACATATAAGTTACTGCAACTAATGCAATGTTTCATGAGTTTCACTTGAATAAGAGAAAGATGTGTTTGGGGTGGAAAATTACAATGGTTGATTAAAATCATATGGAAAACATGAGGAATAATTTCTTCTAGGTTGGGAGAAGCTATTTGCAATAGACAACATTGCTTGGGTCATTCCTTGTGCCATTTCTTTCAAAGTAGAAGACATGGTTTCAATTGCACGAGCTGTTGTTTTAGATGATTCCTTAAAACATTCAAGCATTTCTCTTCTCATTTCTGTGTCTTTCTTTGCGGCGTCCATCAGCTTCTGGTCTCGTTGTGCTGCTGATAATCTCTTCTCTAGATTTTTGCGCTTATTGTCTATTAGCCGTGGCACATTTGAAGATGATAGATCAATTTTTCTTTTTTGTGCAAAAGCACAAGAAAATGTAGAGCCAATATTTTCTGCATATAAACTATCCAACTCTGATTCACTGTTTTCTACATCTGCATCTAATGTACTCAAAGGTGTTTCAGGGCGAGAGCAATCTATTTACAAAAAATAAGTAACCACATAAGAAAGGAGCACTACATTGGATTAGACTCTTGCACAAAAGAATGACTGGTTTTTATTGAAAGTTATACCTACCACAAAAGATCAAATTTCTGTATTTTGTGACGACAACTGAACAGAATCTTGTAGCAGAATATTTAAAATTGTTTATTATTTATTACCTGACAGTTCTTTCCCAGAATAATTGATACTTTGTGTATCCACTCCAAAAGATAGAGAATCTGTAGAAGGAGAGCCACTCCAGATTATAGCAAGTTTGTCAAAATATTCCAAAACGATTTTCCCACTACCACTTCTACGGCCGCTAGTAATTGCTTTCGAGTAGTCTTGTCTAATACTTTTTATTTTCTCTTTTATACGAAGGTAACCAACTTTAATTTGTTTTAAATCCAAATCATGGCCTGCCTTATACTGATCGTATTCGTCTATTGTCATTTCTTTGACAGGTTTTTCGGGTTCACACGCTTGTTGGGGACCAAAATCTTCTTGATATGATTTGACAAGAATTTTCCTCGCTTCCTCGTACAGACGTACTTTGTCGGCATTGAAGTCAATTGAGTTAAATTCGGACATATTTTTATATTCTTGCAATGCACTTATTAATGCATCAATCATTTGGGGAGACCAAGACCATTTTTTTGACTTCTTACTTGAAGAAGCTTTGCTTGCACTTGCTCCGTTATTCCAGTTGCTCGTATTCGCCGCCATATTGCTGCAATGTTTACATTACTTTGCGAATGCGTTATCCAAAACTTGTCCCTGGTGCCAGGGCCAAAGTGTTTATATGACAAAAAACTTGTCTCGTCAAGTAGGGTTACCTTCTTTCCTAAACAGCGTAACCCTACTCCTAGGGTTACCCTGTGCGAAAGAATTTCTCATGTAAACGCTCGCTGCTAATCTAGTATAAAATTATAATAACTAAGCCCTCCCAGGGTGTCTCGGGCAGTAGGGTAACCCTAGTACCCGAGACCATATAAACGGCCCCTGAGAAGTGCTTCAAGCGATCAAACGAACATATTGAAAGTTTTTATATTTTACGCTCATATAAGCGTTAAAGAAGTTTAAACATGGGGTATGAAAAGCATACATGTAACTTTATGTCTTAAGGCCAAATAAAACTATACAGGAAATTTTTCTGTGAATCTTGCCCGTCGCCCAGGCAATATTCCTTTTGACTATGTCGAATAGCAGTGGCGGATACAGGCCAATCGTTTACCTCCCTCAAAGTAGCATTACTATGAGTGCTCGTTTTAGCGCCGCAGCGCTGTAACTTTTTTTGATCGTAAGAGCAGCGCGGTAACAGGGGGCGGCGCTTAAAAGAAGCAGTGGCAAAACAAGGATTTCGGATTAAAGAAGCACTTAATACAATCAATAATTCTGACTGTTTCGCTCAATATCAGAGCTCATCAGCATGCCTAGGCATGCTTCTAAAAAGCAGCCAGACATGGACAGTCAACTTGACTGCCATTTAGTTAAATGGTTGCGAAACTTTGCCTTAATGATGCTATTATTTTAAGTTTCTTGTTTTCATGTTTGATGTTTGATTGTTGTTAATAATGACTATACGAACTTTAATCTTGTGTTATCCATAGCAAATCTGTCGATAACTTCTGACGTTTCGGGCACAATTTCTTGATGAACTCTCATCATGGCCAAACCGTTTAGACGCTCTGAAACCATCGTACTTCGCTTATAATTTTTCAGTTCGCGCTAAACTGAGAAAGAGCGTTCGCATTCGCAAGATGTGATAGTAAGGGTTCCAAGAATACGAAGAATAATTTTGATGTTTTCAAAGCCTTCAAATTTTAAAGCTTTTAAAGTTGCTGAAATTGAGTCTGGAATGGTTCCTTCGTAATCAACCCAATAAGTTTCCCAAAGCAAAATCTCTGAGTCCAAAGCCAATGGATTGGGTAGGTCATCGTGATAAAAATTGGAAACAACTTTGAATTTTTCTTTCCAATTCATGCCATTGTTAAGAAGAGAAATCATTTTATATGGTACAATGCTAAGCCCATTGTACACATTAACGCTATCAGTATTGAAACGAGCTTTCAACGCAGAGTTTAGGTGGTCAACAAGTGGAATAGAAAAAATTCTTTTATAGTACTCAGATGTAGTTTTATAGGGGACATTAGCTCGTGTTGTCTGTCTTCCCACTGTCCTTGGCTTTGCTTCATCAATATCTAATTCTCGAGCCAGTGAGAGACTCTTCATACCATGTATCGTGATACTTATCAATGGAATTCTAACATTAACAACAAACGTTTTCAACGATGTAATAAGATGTAAACCATCCATAATGTCAATACTCTTCCCTTGAAGAAGCTGAGTAACACCAATTGTAGAATCAAACACATTTCTACAAATAACCAGGGCAACAACAAAATCAAACTTTTTCAAAAGATCAAGAAGTTCAGAGGCATCCGAAGAAACATTGAGACTGTGATCTTTATCTACATTTTTCTTCATTTCTCTCAACGTTTTAAAAACAGGAATAAGAAGCTGCTGGAAAGTATCTAAGCCGTCGATTCTCTCAACCCACCTAGTTCGACACACATCTATTAATTTCTTTTTCCTACCGGCTGATAAAGAACCATGAAGGTCAATATTCTTTTCTAAAGGTATTTGTCGTGTAGGGGAAATATTAAAAAAATCAGAAACTTTTTTAACTCTATTGAGCATCGATTTTACATCCATTATATTAATAGACTCACAAATCGCTAAATTTAATCTGTGGCTGTAGCAATGGGTAAAAAGAGCCTTATCATTCAAACGACGCAAATGAGCAGCCATCCCATTAATATGACCAGCAACAGCACCTGCCCCATCATATCCCTGTCCTCTACAATCAGCAATAGAAAGACCAAGGTTGCCTAAAGCATCAAGAACAACCTTAGCAAGCTGCTCACCTTTTAAGCCCCATTTACAAGGAAGAAATCCAACAAACTCCTCCCTAATATCCATATTTTGGTCGATAAAACGCAAAACAAGAGACATCTGTTCAGTATTTGAGATGTCTCGAGCCTCATCAGCAATTACAGAGTAGAACCTGCTTGCTTTTAAGTCAGAAATGATTTTATCTGTTATTACTTCACCACAGCATTTAATAAGCTTGTTCTGGGAAGTTTTAGAAATATACGTCTGATTCCTACCACATGAATTCAGATGGTCCTCTAACACCTTGTCCCCAGCACGCACTCTAAAATTAAGAAGTTCAACAAAATTCCCAACACCACCTGCAGAAAAATTACCAGTTTCAGGATGATAGTGCCCATCATCACGATGACCTCTAAAGGCTAAGCCCAAACGACCACATGTTAAGACCGTATCGGTAATTGAACTTAATTTAGCCCGGTTACCTTCAACTTCTTTCTTAACCTTAGAATCAATAATAACATTAATGCCTTTTGTTTTACCAGACATGTTAGATTTGAAGGCAGAATAAACTGGAAAAGTAGAAGCATGCAAACCATTCAAACCATGAAAACTCATTTTGCCATCACTCTCTTTGCCATCATGACGTTTTAGCATTTTGGATGCATCTGTCCAACGACGAAGTGGCTGAGAGAATAGGTTGGAAATTTTGAGGCCTTATCTTTAAAATTATCACCAAAAGGACACATGGCAAACAAAAACCCCCATCCAAGGATGGAGAATAACATAAACATTCATACCTTTCTAACCAATCATAACGAAAAGATCTTCCATTCGTTTTTGGGAATTCAAAATTTTCATCTGGTCTATAAACATTTACTATGAGATTGTAAATTTCCCCATCGCTCATGCCTTTTCTTTTTCTCTGAAAGTTGCAACATCAAAATTAAGGGAATATGACAGTCAACAAGAGAAGAAGCCTCACTAAATGACACTATTTTATCAGAAGGGGGTTTTTTGTAGCAAGTTGCATCAAGAGAAGAAGACTTGTCAATACATAAGGTGCTAAGGCTAGACTTATCAGTTTTAAAATTACTGTTAGAAGGTTTATCAATGCAAGACAGCTGGAAGAATCGCTAATATCTTGGTGTTCTTGTAGAGAAGAGTTGTCAGGATGCTTGCGCTTTTGTTACACACTTTATGTTTTTCATTTTTGTTGAGCAAAGAAGAGGAACATAATGGTTTGACAAAAGCTCGCCAGACTTAACCTTGCCTTCATAGCAGAATAATATGTGAACAGCAACATCCTTCACAATTGCTTCATTTGCCGCGAGGGTTTACATGTCTATTAAAAGTAATTTGGGTCTTATGTCCCCACAATCTGGATAATAAGTAAATATTTCATTACCAATAACTGATGATAAGCCCAGAATACACAAGAAAGGTGACCAGGTACCATCATAACAATTTAAAATAGCTTCTTGCTTAATTAAATCCTCATTCTTTAAGCCGGAATCTAAGCATGAGGCCGATACTGATAATGGCAAAAGATTAACAAGACTAAGGTCATGGTGCTCAGTCACTGCCAAAGAAAATGCAGGATGTTTATTGTAAAAATCACAATGAAGGTATAGCTCAAGGGAAGTCAGTATTCTTAAAATACTTACTAAGCTGTTTTCTCCTACAAGCAGCAAAGATACTGAGCTGTAAAGACAATTCCCTGATGCTTGAGATCTACAAGGTTCAAAATAATCCCTCTTTGGTTTAAATTTCTTTTGTGTTGTACTAAACAGCGTAACTTTAAATATTAAACATCCAATAATGTTATATTACGTATTTAAAAACAGCTAAGCACATGTAACATTGCCATATAAAGTTATTCATTCAGATTCTTAATTTTCCTTACATAAATAGTATACCAGTATTTCAGTAATATTTATAAGTTATTATTCGCTTATTTAATTATTCGAATAAAATACAAACTTCGACTGGTAAACGAAGGATTTCTGCACTGGCAAGTAATGCAAAATATAAGAATTACAAAACATCAGATATTGACAAGCTTATTAAAAATTCAGATAAAGCATCGTAATCGGACAGAAGTAGAATAAAAGCTAAATTGAACAGCCATATCAACACATCGTTACCTGATTGCAGTGTAGATCTTTCCCTGCGATTTCTTACTGCTTGGAATATATGTCTCAGCGACAATATGCCGGTACAGTGAATTGCCCAGTTTTGATCGAAGCAAGTAAGATGAACATCTTGGCTTTGAATTCAACTGCCCGCGTAGCTCGTTGTACAGAAGCAACAGAGCTTCTTTGTTGTTGCTGTTCATTGCCTCTTAGGCTTCTAGAAAACAATCTCTATCCATTTTCAGAAGAAATTGCGTGCGGTAAATGTTAACGATACTAGTATCTCGAAAGTCGAAAGTCGAAAATAGTGAGGTACGCTCATTGAGTTCTATAAGACCTGGAGGAGAAACGTCAACCAAATTACTATAAATTATTAGCGCGCGGCCGCGTGGTCAAAAACATGGCGGATTTTGGTTGCCAAAGTCAGCGGAAAGACGCGGGCTCATAAAATGAAATTTTTTCCGCCCACCCGGATTTGACAACCACAATAGCGATTATATAAAATATCAATGCCAAACAGAAAAACTTTTAGAAATTTTACAACATGTTGCAAACTTGTTTGGTAGACGGATGCTGAAGTAATGCCAGAAAAGGAAACATTTCATGATACCGGTAAGCAACGTAAGATTGTTTACCATTTAAAGTGCTCAGTGTTTTGTTTTAAGTCAATACTTGAAGTGTGATGGTATATATTTTGTGAATGTTTTTACTTCTAACTTATAATTTAAGTTATGTATATCCAGTCTTATTTGTTCTTTACTTAATCGCTTGCTAGACGAGGCAAAGCAACCAGTTCTTATCGAGATATGCACGTCTTAAAACTCCTTGTTTCAACTGAGTTGAAATGGAGGATTTTTTCATGATATTTTTCTGAAAATATGAAGCAAATATTAAGGACAGAGCTGTATTGAAATCAAATGCAGTGCAAGATTAATTAATGAGCTCTTTGGTACATGTCGTACAATAAAAAATACCTGTATTAAACAGCTAGCCTGGACAATTTGACAGATTATGGACAATCATGATGATGGTGTGTAATGGTTTGCTTTATGCTAAAAGTTTTATGAATGCCATCTGGTGTTTCTGTAAATGAATTGTTTGTTACACAGTGTAGTGAACAGGTTAAGTACATCAAAATCAAGATAAAAAACTACTTTGTTCAATAATGTGCCAAATTTTGCTCCTACCTTGAAATATTTGCTCAAGCAAAGCTTATCATGACATGCATGAAACATTAAATACAGTACTGCATCATCTGACAAAGTCCATATGTTTTTCAATTCCAGGTGATTAAAAATTCACATAAGATGCATTGGTTTGCAATGAAGTTGAATGTGGAAGAAGCAAAAATTGATGACAAAGAACTTTTTATGTCTTTTGAAGAATTACGATATCATTTAAAAGAATAAGAGTAGCAATCTAGCAAAAGAAGCCACATCGGCCTTCAACATGAGACTTTTCCAATTATGTATAGTTATTTTGTACAAAATACTATTTTAGATAAACTTGATTTTTAAGTCATTTACTGATATTTTTACCAAAAGACAAAAACAAAAATTCCAAGGCATAATGTAAAATTCAAAAATTTGTCAAGTTGTTTGAACCTAGAAAAAATTAGTATAGGTAACTGTAATTTGTAAGGACACAAGAGAAAAGTAGTGCAAGAAGGTTAGCATTTTGAGAGTTAATAAGTTCTTGACATACATTACACAAGGCCATAATATTATAAATAATGTCTGTATAATAACAATTATACAACATGCTAAATATCTTCACCTACATTATAATTATTTAAACAGGTTTGCCTTCATGCAGCAATAAGAAAAGTGTTATGTCAGAGAAACCAATGCACTTTAATTTAAAAATCGTATTTTCAATGGGAAATTAATGTAGTTCTGTTCAATAGTAGATCCATGGTTGTCAATGACAATCCAGTTACTAATATCTTGGCTCAAAACAGAACCAGCAACATGATTATAGAATTTCTGAATTTCGTTCTTTTGCTCTCCTAGTTCGAGATATTTTCTTCATAAGTTCTCAGTAGATTTATCAGAATATCATAATACCTTATAAGACACCCAGAATCAATCCTACCAAAAAAAACTCAAAAAAAAAATACATACCTACTTATAATATATTTCCAGTCGACTTAAGTCGTAGGGGTAAGCTAACTTTTTCTAACTTCTTTTTGGACATTTTAACTAATATTTACCCATCTATTCAAGAAAGACAGTTGCACGAAGCTGTTAAAAAATAGTCAAAAACACAAGTATTGCGCATGGGATTATGCATTAAAGCTTAACGACACATTGACAGTGTAAAGAATGCCGTTTGATATTTATTTCTAACATAGCTAAAGCATTACTTGACAAAACATACGTTATTTTACAGTAGATTTACCTCATTTAAATGTGTGTGTCTATTTCACAAAAACCTGAAGCATTATTTTCAATATTTTATGCTTACGGTATCGTGGTTGTTTTCGCTGGTTGTCATTGATATAAGCAGTAATACAGTTCCTGATTCGGGAGGTAGCGAATGTTAAAAATTTTTCTCAAAGTGGAAGTTTTGACAACCCAAATCCGCCATTACCGCCATGTTTTTGACCACGGGGCCAGGCCCCTTTGCCCCTCCAGGTCTTATAGAGCTCAATGGGTACGCTTGCTGTACTTGAGGGAGTTGATAAAATGCACCAATAAAATGCACTGTTAGAATAAACATGGAACATCGTAACCAATCATAGACATTATTCCAAACAAAGTTCAACGTCAAAAACCAGCTAGTGCCTCAAAATATTCTCCTTATGCCTCAAAATTTTCCTTGGTACCTCAAAATTTCCTCAAGTCCCTCAGAAACCATGGTAACTGCAAGTTTTAGCCAATCAAAATGCTCATTCAAGCTTGGGTACCTCAGTAGCCGCTGACAAGTACCTCAAAAAAATCGCTTTGCTTCAAAAAGCAAACTATAAAAACTGGAATCAGATTTGAGTATTTTGCGATCAGATACTGAACGCTGATCGCAAATAGTAACTTAACTCAGTTAACTGGACTAAAACCTATGATCTCAATTATTACGTAATTCTTTGAAAATTTTATGTACCTCGCGTGAGGGTTTTGAGGTACCCTAGATCCGCCACTGTCGAATAGATGCAACAACTCAAGCCTTTGAATAACGAAATTTTATTCTCATGCAAGGTTGATCTCATACATATATTGCTCACTCACTCAGACTCCCTCTTCAACCCCTTTTGTACAAAACATCAATCAAAATTTTTCTAAGCCTATTGGTTAACGAAATTATAACAACTAAGGAGAATTTGTCTCTCTGTCAGTAGGACATTCAAATAACATAACTTATTCCCAACAATTTATACTATACAAAATGTGTGTAGAAAAAACTCGTACTTACTAAATTATTAAAGAGTTGTAGTGGAAAAAATGGCAAAAATTTCTAAGAATTTAAGACTTCTAATGAAACAAGGAAGAAATTTTTGTATTTACTGTATGTATGTTTCTAAATAATAACTAATCTTCGAATTATTTTAAATTGAACCTATCACCACTTATTTTTGTATATTTTATATACATCTAATTTATTGCTGATTAAACATTATGTTTTTGTTAGTAATGTTTTACGCTAGAAAACACTTTCAGGCAATATTTATAGCAGCTGTTGCACATTCATTCCAATTAATGAATTTTTTAAAAATCTTGTAATTTAGTATGGATTATCATAATTTTATTAGAAGTCAAATAATTGAGCAGAACGAGGACTTATTGCTATATATTTTGTGTTAGCTGGTCATATTTTATAAAATTACAGTTCAATTTCAACATTCATTTCGATTTTGTGAGCCATTATTTATCACAAAATATTAATGTTAATGTGATCCGTATATTGTTCACCAGAAATGCTTGCTAGTTGCTATGACTACTGTCTTCTATAATAAAATATACCAGGTATAATAAAGTATACCAAGTTAGCCATTGCCTTTATGCCATAATACTCCCGCTGTGCAAGGGAAGCAAATCTTAATTTTTAAGGCAGAAATAGACATAAATGTACCATATTTGCTATCAAAATTATCAGAAAAGGTGAACAACTTAGATCGACGCACTTGGAGGTCAGCAGATTATATTATCCAAAATACATTATACTTTGAGCAGCCCAGCATTAGCTATATATATTCCGCAATATATAATATAATATAATCGAATGTTGCGCAGGCTAATTAGCAGTTTATTGTTATTTGTTTGCAGGCTCAAATTTCACAAATTTCTATCCATGAATGCATTTAACAAGGAAGGTGTCGATTTCCGTTCGATTTTATGTATTTTTATTGCACATCGATACCTCCAATATCTGCCTTGCATGCAAAGTGAAGGGGAAGTGCTTTTAAGTGATCAATATTGAAAAATAGGTAAAGTTTTTTAATTCTTTTATTTATATAGATTATAGTGTAAAAGCTATGTATAGAAAGAGCACGTTGGCTTTTATCATTGTAGCCTTTGTGGTCATTAAAAAAGGCGCATCATTCCTATTTTGAATTATAATGCTGCTCGAATTTGTTCACAGAGGATCTGCTTACAATTTTCTTCAGTGTTAGGAGAAAGATACTCTATACTGAGTGGATCTATGCAATATTGAAGAAAAGCTTGCACCCGCATACGTCACAACTGTGTGAGTTGTTGCATAGATTAACTGAAAGGTAAAAGTTTTTCACTTTGTTATTTCAAAATGGCTTTTACAAGAAGAAGCAATAAGGATTGTTGGTGATTTCAGTAAGTTTAAAGGTTTTGTGCCTTCTCATCTCGCTGAAAAATTGGTGTGTCCCAAGCTCTTTTTGCAAGATGAAAAGGCGTAAAAAACTTTAATATGTAGAAATCAACAAGCAACTCTCGTTGCATTTTTGTACTTTATTTTATTTGAGCATCGCATTTCTTGCGTCAGTCATTTTATAATTGCAAAGTGAATACGTTTTCTTCAACTCAGTTAATGAATGCAAAATTTCAGTCAGATGTGACGCTTGCTAGGGGAACCATTTCTTTTATATTGCACATACCCTACGCTGTGGTCAAGAACCTAGGCTACCCAGCCAGGGATTGTTGCTAAAAAGGTTTTAGGTCTATAATAAATACATGTCTCTGTATTGGCACTATAAATGCGTTTCTTCTTATTTCAAATTTATGCTCAAATTGCGAAACATTATAGCCCTTCGATAGATGCAGTAAGTTAAAAATTATATTTCTACTCAGTAGCTGTAACACTTTCATAGAACCAAAATAAAGGTAAGCTCCCATTGTTAAACCTGAATAATGGGGAAATAAG